TCAGGATGAAGATAGTTTTTCCCCTTTTTAGCCGATAGTTGTCACTCTTAGCTATCTTTTTATTGGTATTATTGATGCAATATGACTATTTTATTCTGAAGGATGGAATCAACTTATAGAACATGGCTCGCTGCATTGAAGAATGCCAATGGTGTTTGGAATGTCGATGAGCTAGGAAGGGATCTCAGGACAACCCTCGGCACAACAAAGTGGCAGGTTGTTTGCTTATAGCCTATAACATAGTTATTCCAAAACACATTCTCCCATCCCATTTCGGGATGGTTCCGTTGTCCTTTTTAACCGTAGATTATATACACATTACTAGATTACATGTATATCTACGGTTAGAAAAGACAACGGAACCATCCCGTAACAGGATGGTAGCAATCCCCATAATTATAATGGGTAAAAAAACTTCAAACTCCTTATGTTTTCTTCTTTATGCAAATTTGTCATGCCAACTACTTTTTTTTTATGTGTTTTACTTTTTCCAACTTGCCCTGCTATCATTTATAAGGTGGTTTTGGTTAACACATATCTAGTTTTTATTTGTTATATATATTTTTTAAAATATTAGGGGTCTAAATGAAACATTATGAAATTTAATTTGGGGATTGGAACAAACCGAACAATATGAAAATTTAAGGCAGGACAAATTTCATTAAATTCTACTAGAAGGGGGATCCTTATTCTTGTTTTGTTATAACCGTGTTTACAGGTATAATAAGCTTGCCGGGAAAATATTAATGATATTCGGTGTCATGTCGTTGGCTAGAAAAATTGCTGAACATGTTAGCTATACATGATGGAATTTAAAAAAGTTTCAAAATATGATACATTAGTTTAGAAAAGCCACCTTATTAATGGTATTGGTGGGGGCAAGTTAAAAATGTTTGTATGACTGATTTACAAAAAAGAAATATTCATATGGTAAGTTGCAAAAACGGCGATAGTTTGGAGGTTTTGAAGACTTACTCAATTCTGAATATCTATTGCAGTTATTAATTAGGTTTTTCGTGAAGGCATTAGTGGTGTGTTATTTACACTTTTATTGCACTTGTTAGCTTATCGTGAAATAACTGCGAGAATGACATATGCAGTTGGAAGAATTCGAGCGTGCAACGAGATCGAGTTACATCAGCACTAACTCGGCTGATCACGACGCAAAAGATAGACATCAAGAATTCATAGTTGCTATCAAGGATCAGATAACAAAAGTTGAAAGCTCTTTAACCAAATCCACAGTTTCACATGGCAAGCCACCCCTGCCCTGGGTGCGATTAGATGAAGGTGAAAGAAATGAACTTGCCTTATTTCTTTCGGAACCATCTTCGAATATGACCTCGAGCAAAGCTCACAGTAAACAGGGAGTGGAAAGCTTGCAAGAGGCCTGTGGACTAACAACGAATAAGACTTCAAGGAGTTCAGCTCATTTAGTCGAGTTGGACCAAGTGAGCGGTAAGAAAGAGAAGTTTTCAGGTCATCGTAGGACGGCTAGTGCCAGTGCTGACATTGGATCTTGGAAAATTATGGTGCCTGATGATGTATTGACACATAGTCAATCCAAAATAAATCCCGATCCACCCCCACGAAAGATACCTAGTATTTCTAGCTTCTTGAATACCATGGAATCTTCTGTATCTCAATTAAAATGGTCAAGGAATGGTTATAAGAAATTAAAGGTTACAGACCAGCCTCAAGAATTTGATGCTACAGTGCCGAAGCATCAGAATTTGACCCGAGTCAGTGTTTTGATTTTTCGTGATTATAACCATAATAATTGTCTCGTCTCTTTTAAAAGTTCTTGCTAGCTCTGTTTTATTAAGCATGATAAAATTGTACTTAATATGAAGGGCACAAACTTATGCTACGAGAAGAGTAAGAGTTCCATTGCAGTTTGCGATGATTGTTATGACAAGCAGTGGTATGGTTGGTACGGTACCATCCGGAGACAACTTCAGAGGTCTCAATATCATATCCAGTATAGTCGGCCTATTCAAGTCATTTTCTCCGTTATCATCCTTCTATGCTTACTGGGTGAGCTTGCTAAATTTACTCTCTTCTTTACCCTGACTATCTTGGCTTACTTTTTGGCAATGACTTTGGTTTGGAACACTTTCATATGTTAACAGTTCCTGTAGTTGGACGATCAAATCTTCTCCATGAGCCATGTGTGTGTGTGTATGCTTTATTTTCTCATAAGATGTTTATGTTACACTTTTAAAACTACGGCAGTGTCAAATGTATGAAACATGAGTATCAATATTTATTATTTAACTTGA